AAAAAAAAAAAAAAAAAAAAAAAGAAAAGAAATTAGATAAACGGGGTCATGCTGACATTTGCTGAGAGAGACATGGGGACTGCGCTGGGCTGGACTGCAGAGTTCAGAGTGCAGGTCTGTGGAGCTGGTGGCTAGGTCTGGCTTGGCCAACAGGAGCAAGTACACTCTGTAACTTCTCCGGGCTTGGGACCCTCAACTGAATGGTGGACAGGAGATCAGATTCCCTTTAGACTTTCTTTATCTTCTGAAATCCCACAATTCAAGAATGTCAGTGGGATGTGATCTGCAGAAATTTATCTGAACACAGGGGAGAGACGGAACTGGGGTCTGGACCTTCAGTGTTTCACTCACCCTACGATCAAGTGAAGCAAGGCCTCTGAGGTGCCTTTTCCCTCCTCCCCTGCTTCTCGTTTTCTTCCTGTTAGTCTGTCCTTCGGGAACTTCGGCGAGGGGAAGAGAGTCAGTGGAGATGCAGGGAGACAGCCCTCAGCCGGAGGTGAGGGGTAAAGGGAGACATTGGGATGGTCGTGGACCAGAGGTTCCCCGAAACGCACACACCACAAGGTGGGAATTGTGTCCACCCTCAGTGTTTGCAGTGGCTACAAAATGGGAAGGGGGCACTCGGAAAGAAAAGAATGTAATCAAGAAACCACATATGTTCCAAGCAGAAACATTAGGATAGCAGCGATGACCAAGGACAATGGAAAAATAGCCATCATCCATCCCCCCACTGCAAGGGACCCCCTACCGAAAGGCACACCCCCGAAGCACTCTTGACAAACACAGTGAGGTTACATTGCATACTGTGAAGGGTACCAGAGTACGCCGCCCCCAAACATGCTGGTTTGCAATAGGAACTGTCTTGAGCTAACAGCCGTTTGAACCAGCAGACAAAGGGCAAGCTCTAAGATGGGGCACAAAGCTTTCTTTCTAAAGAGGCATTTCCACTTGTGAAGGACACAGTCATTTCTGAAAGGTGCCACCCTTTCCTGTGTCAGGAAGAGGACTCTCAGCTTCCATCAGCTGATGTCATGCACACAATGAACCTATTACTAAACAGCCCTTGCTGCCCTTCTCCTGGGCATCCCCTGACTTGTCTCCCCCACCCAAAACCCCTACCTCCTTTCATCTTTCCTTAGCCTGAAATGTACAAGTCCAAGCCCTACCTATCTGTTTTGATGACTCATCCTAGGGTGGAACCGTGTGTATGTAAATTGTATATGCTCATGAACTTGCGTGCGTGCGTGTGTGTGTGTGTGTGTGTGTGTGTGTGTGAGCGTGTGTTGTTGTTGTTGTTAGTTTGTCCTTTGGAAATACAATTAGAGGGCCAGAGAATCTAAGGTGGGTATAGAAAAAGGATACAATTCTTTTTCCTTTCATACAATTGTGACTTGATTTTTCAAATTTCCCAGCTTGTCCAAACCACGAATTGCCTGCTTTTTTCTTAGACATTTAAATAGTGTCCAGGCTGGGGATTTAGCTTAGTGGTGCTGCTGCCTGCTTTGCAACTGAGTTTGATCCCAGGTACCAAAAAAAAAAATCGTGTCCAATTTTGACTTAATACTACAGTGTAAAAATGTATAGGCAAATCTTTCAGATCCTCCATGATCTCCTTATGAAAAAACTCATCCTGGACTTATAAGGTCAAATTAAAAAAAGAAAAAAAATATATATATATATTGGTACCAGGCATCAAACTCAAGACCTCGCATTTGCAAGGCAGGCAGCGGTACCACTGAGCTAAATCCCAGCCCAAAAATATTTTTGATGCTTCTGATCATATTGATAGACTTTACCAGAACTTGGGGTATTTGATTTTTTACAAGCGCTCTACAAGAATGTCCATTTTTATAATTTTTATTGTTTTTATCATCATTAACATAGTGTTTTATTTTTTAAATGAAAACTGCATTTATGTTAAAAAAGGACATGCCTTTATTAATACATTCATTTCCACATTCATGTCAATAATGTAAACTACTCTTTTTTATAATTTTGTGGTAAAATGGTATTTTACAGCTAGCGTATCTATATTTTTGGGGGTGACATTAGACTTTTTTCTGATACTTGTCTATATGAGATATTTCTTCTGTAAACTGATAATTTATATCCTTTGCCCATTATAATACCTTTTTTTTCTAATTGGCCAACAACATAAAAAGGCATGACAAAACATTTCATTGCATATGAAAATAATATAATGTTACATTTTTAGGTAGCCATAATCGGAGACATAGTTGTCCATCTTTTCCGTATTCCTTGCAAGTTATCCACGAGGGTAGGTTTTCTGTACTCAAAGATATAAAAATGCCTTTCTAGATTGTCTTTGTGGCGTTATTATGGGACTTCTTTTAACATTTAAAATTTTAATCCAGTTACAGTCTACTGTGTGGAAGTTGTTAGGGATTAATCACGCAGCCTTCATAAAATACTATATTTAGGCTTCCTTTTACACGACGGTAGAAATGCGGTGCTTTGACTCAATTTCATTTCCTAGGTAACTTTCCAAAAGAGAATCTCCGTCTTTGTAACCAATGGTGGCAAACAAAGCAAAATAAAAAAACACCAACATGTTAAGGATGTTTACTCACAGTGTCCTAAACAATCGTGCCAGTGAAGATTTACCTGGGCAATCTGTCCTTGGGCCGTTCCTTCTTCCTGTGTGTCTTTTCGGAGGCTCGGGGCCTCTGGGTCCCTGCCCCTCCTGCATCACAGAAGGCGTCTGGCTCCTTCGCTGGTTCTCTCTCATTCTGTTTCTTGCAGCTCCCTTCCTCAGCCATCTATAGTGTTAGCTGCCGTAGATATTTTTAAATCTGGTTGTGTAGTAGTATTTTGTAGTCTCTGTGCTCCCTAGAGTTTGGCAGTATGTTTTTATTTACCTGTGAATTTCAGTAGAGCTGTGAAATGTATGTGAACCACAAGGTCTGGAGAGTCCTCAGCAGTTACAGCTGAGACTCGATTTATGTTTCTTTTTTTTTAGTACACAAACAATTTTAGAACATGAAAAATATCTTTCAGGAAAAAGACACATCTATTTCCTAATCATTTTGTACATGTGCGTTTCCAAATGTAATAATAATACAGTCAATATTTGTGTTCTGCCGTTTGCTTGTGCACATTTCCCGGATTTCTATGTGACCCTGTTAATGGTAATTTCCCTGCACACGTACAAGATGGGTTGTGACGCTGAATTCGGACTTTGTTTACACAGAGGTGATTCTGTTACATTGACTTACCTTTCAGTTCCTTCTCAGTGAGGTAATAAAACCCATCTCCCCTCATTTTTTTTTTTTTTGGCTTTTGGTGAGAATTAAACTGTGATAAGGACACCCAACTCCTGGGCACACCTGTTTTGCTGTTTTGGCAAAGGCACACATCAGAAGGGCCGCCCTGTTGAGCTCAAGTTGTGCCCCCTGCTTCTGTCAGAAAGCAGACACGTGGTTCCGTTCTCAGAGGGTGGCTTTCCACCAGCCTTTTCTCAGTTCCTTTTCGCAAGAAGAGCTCAGAATCACCACAAGGAAACGAATCCCCAAGATGAGCTTCCCATATAAGAGTTTAGCCAGTTTCTTTCTGCTTTTCAGCTTTTCTGCCAAAGGTGAGTTGGTGTGTCAGTCTGCACTGTCACTGTGAGATACTTTTTTAGGACGTCCTGAAATGAGCACAAGAGTTAAACTGTTCACAGCCCAGCATTTTCTGGCAGAATCTTGACACCTCAGTAACTGTTTTACTTTTTCTTTTTTCTTTTTTTGGATCGAACTCAAGACCTCTCCCATGCCAGGCAGGTGTGTGCCTCTGAGCTAAATCCCTGGCCCCGTTTTGCTTTTTATAGGTTCAGCCCTCAAAGATAGGGTCATCTGGAGTACCTTGGATCAAGACATAAACCTGGATATTCCCAATTTTCAAATGAGTGACCTCATCAATGAGATACGCTGGGAAACAGAAGGCCGCAAGATTGCACATTTAAGAGGCAAGAAACTGTATCAGTTAAATAAAACATATGAAATATTGCCAAGTGGAACTCTGAAAATCAAACATCTGGAGAGAAGTTTTAACAACATCTACAAAGTAATCATCTACAATACAAGCGGAACAAGTGTGTTGCATGAAGAATTTCATGTAAAGATTCAAGGTAAGCCTGCCCTAATTTTCTTCATTTCAGTGTGGGTGCTATTTAGCAAGTTGGGAAATCGCATTTATAAAATATCCCCAGCCCCGGCCCCTGCCTCTGGAGAGGCTTTCAAGTAAATCTAACGAATCTTCCCGACTCCGTGGAGACCTGAGTCTGGGGTGTCTGTGACGCGGGAGAGGGACTCACAGGGCAGAAGTCCCAGCTAACAGAGCCTCTGAGCTGCTTGCAGCTCTCTCTCTTTAGGGGGCTGCAGGGCTGTGGGGCTGAGCGGAGAACCTCGGGGAAGGTGGGACTCATCAGAAAGGGCAAAGCTGGGCCGTGGAGGAAGTGGCTGCCCCAAGTGGGTGATGAAGGTGTGAACTAGATGTGTCCGGGACGGAGAAGCTGCCCAGAGAGTAGTGAGTCTTTTGTCTCCAGAGCCTATTCCAAGCCAGGATTCCGTGGCAGGGAAAGGGCTGGAAGCAATAAACACAAGGATGCACTCACTGCCTTTGTTTCTGATCTGCTCAGCGTCACAGCAGTTGAGGTAGGAAGTGACTTGGTGGATACGTGCAGCAAATAAACCAGACGGTCTGCACTTGTGCTGCGAGGGAAGAGCAGATTAGATGGCGAGATGCGAGGTGGGAGACCAAGTCCGAAGCTGCTGCTGTAACCCAAGCAAAGTGAGGAAGGGCCGTAGGGGGTTCGGAATCCCTGAGAACAACAGGGATGCCTCTAGGAGTCATCTGCGCCCGGGGCCCATCCTAGACGAAGGGTATCAGAATTCCGGCACGAAGCCCACATGTGCGCAGTTCCTCAAGTTCCCAGGAGGTTCCAGGGAGCAGCCAGAGTTGGTAGCGCTGGCCTGGACTCCAGGGAGCTGTGACAGGAGGAGGGCTGCGTCTCCCTAAGGCTGTGTGTAGGGAAGGGGAGGGCAAGGCGGCTTGGGTGAACGTGAGAGGGAGAGACGGGGCGGCGGCGATGCCCCTGCAGTTTGAAGTCCAGCAAGCAGCGAAGAGAAAGCTGCACTTGGCGTGGAGAGGCAGCCAGCGCCCCCCATGTGAGCATTTTCTGTGGCAGGGCCCCTCCTCCTACCTCGGGTTGCCTGCCCCATCCCCAGCAGCTTATCACAAGGGGCCCCTTTCCTACCCTAGGACGGCAACCCGAGCTGGAGAGCAGCAGCATCTAGAAGTGGGGTGGCGGTGGGGTGGCTCTGCGTGCAGCTCGGGAGACCCATTGCGAACGTGAGCCTTGAAAGGGGCACATACTGGTGTGCTCACATTCGTGTCACCATGAGTATCATGGGGCTGATAAGAGGGAGGCATCAATATTGCTTTGTGGCAATATTTAGGTCTCCCACCAACTCTGAGAGCTGGTAATTGTGCGCCACTGTTGTCTGTAACGAAACAGCCCTTGTCAGAAATGCCTCGTCCTGCTTCCCACTGTGGGACAGGATTCACACCCAGGGCTTCTGTTTGCACAAGTGGTGACACTCTTCACCCTTCGAACAGCTTCGTTGTGACATGTAACCCACACGCCATTTAAAGTGTAAAATGCTTTTGTGTATTCAGAGTTGTGCAACCACAGTCACCACATTCAACATCTTCACTCCTCCAGGGGAAGCCTGGTCCCCATTAGCCAAGAGTGAGTGGCCTGGCTGCGGTGTGTGTCCACAGCACACCAGTTTGTGGCCTGGCCACCCTTACTTGTCACTCGGACTTGGCCAACTCCTGTCTGCTCTGAATCTATTTTCCTGAAACAGGTTAAGTATCCCTTATCTAAAATGTTTGGGATTAGGATTGTTTCAGACACTGGATTTTTGGACTGGGATACTCAACCTTTTAACTTGAAGGATATTCCACGAGGCAGCGTATGCAAAAAAGTGCCCAGAGTCCCTGGGGCATGTGCTGTTTGCTCCCTGCTGAGGTCCTCCCATCTCGGTCTCCCCTTAGACCTCACAGGTTCAACCCTGACACCTGCATTGCCCTCCTGGGGCAGCTGTCCTGATGGCCGGCCAGGCTGAGGAAGTCCCCTTAAAAGCAGTGGAGGAGGATTAATGCTAGTGGCAGGAATGGAGCGGTTCTCGTTTCTAAGAAGGCTATAACAATCCGCCCCTATCGATCAGGTCATGCCACTTATGAAAGCTGTCTGACAGTAAGGATAAGTGCAAAGCTCTCGCTTCATGAGATTCGTCACTGTGTTATTTGCACTAGTAAAACACTGAAATGGATGTAGAAATCTCTAGCAGAGAAACTTACCAAGGAAACGAAGAGCGTATCACTTAAAAAGATGGTGGAGATGTGCATTCATTGATGCTCACAAAAGAAAGAACCTTGTGACCGCATACTTTCATAGTAAGGAGAAAACAGGCTCTAAGATCCCCTCGTATAGTTTTAATTTTAAAACATTGTATCATCAATACATATATGCATAGACAATGTCTAGTATCAAAATATTAATAAGTATTGAGTGGATAGTAGAGTTGCTGGTGGTTTCTCATTTTCTTTCAGTCTTTTTCATATTTTATAAATTTGTACAATGATTGGACTGTCACTGTTACGAAGAAAGACTTTTTTCCATTCTGAAGACAAAGACCGACCCAACTCCTAGACCATATACTACTTTGTTGTGTGTTGGTGTTACTTTTTCATTTTCTTAACTCTGAGTTACCCGGAATTGCACAGAATTTCCAGGTGGGAAGTGAACTCTACTTCTGCAGGCCTGTGTATTGGAACAGAAATGAAATTAGACTGGGATGGCAGACGGGGAGGATACTGGCGTCAGAGGAATCTTGGAAAAATAAGCTGTCTGCTTAAGGGATGAAGAGAGGCTATAAAGAGAAAGGTGGCAAGTCTGGGAAACAAAATAAAGGATGAAAAACACAAAGAACAAAAGAGAAGGAAAGCAGTCACTTAACTAGACCTAGGGATGCCAGTGTGGGGCTGTTCTCTTGTGATGCACCCTTTAATGTTTCCATACTAGAAAAGGAGAGGGGAGGAGTTTCTGCTGTGAGTGTAGGAACCAGCACTAATGAATGCAGAATGTTTTCCTTATTCTCTCTAGTCTTTAAGCAGCTCTGGGCTAGGGGAGGGCAGAGCCCAGTTCCTGGTCTCCAGGCTGGTGCCCCTCCTCTCCAGTGCCTCGAGCTCCTTGGGCACCCAACCCTCACACCCCCGCCTGCCCTCGGCTCCCAAGACCCTGGCACGGGGAGGGGAGGGTGGCTGACCAAGGTTCCATGCTGCAGAATAAGACCCTGCCAGAGCCCTGCTCCTGGCTGCTGAGGAAGGAAGCACTGTGCTCTTCAAGCTTCTTGGGTAACTGGAGGTCAGGACACCGATCCTCTTTCCTGCACTCCTGGAGGTGGACTCACAAGGGTAGGCTTCTCTCTTGATCTGCCTTTTTTCTACTGGGTGCCCTAAGGCCACTCACCCAACCTCTCAGAGTTTTGGCTCTTTCACCTACAAATAGGAAGAAAAACACCAGCCCCTCTGGTACAATTACGTAACAGAGCAGAGAAACATTTTTAAGGGACACACAGAGCATAAACATTAGATGTGCTCTACTTTTTACTGTTACAATGTATCTGTGAACTTCCCAGAAATCACTTTGCTCTGAAGTATGTAAATAAAGTCAAATAAATAATGAGTTTTAAACACTGCAAGCAGTCTTTGAAATTGTTCCCTGGCTCCAAACCAGGCAGTGGTTCCCATTCGTCTAGATAGGAGGTCCGTAAAAATCAGAGAATTGCCTAACAAGAATTGGATCTTTATTTTCTTTTCAGAGACGGTCTCAAAGCCAGAGATTTCCTTGAATTGTAGCAACAGGACCTTGACCTGTAAGGTAGTGAACGGAACTGACCCTAGTTTATACCTGTACCAAAATGGGAAATACCTCAAGAAAGTTTCCAAGAAAGTCGTCACGTACCAGTGGACAGAGAAGACTGCGGCTTTCAACTGCACAGCAAGTAACAAAGTCAGTGAAGAATCCAGGGTAGTGGCTGTCAACTGCTCAGGTGCGTGGCAGGCGTGGCAGGATGTCCCAGGGTCCCCTCACGCAGCAGGCCAGGCACACAGACATGGGTGCAGGTGCCTGGGCTGGGACGAGGCAGCTTTGGCTTAGGATTAGAAGTGAAAAATGGACCTCTTTCTCCTGGATGCCCTCAGGGAAAGCCTTTGAGGAGGTGATGCTTTCTGCCTACTCATTCTGGGAGCCTTCTCTGAACACTTCCCCCCCCCCCCC